GAAAACATTACACCTTTGAAAAAAAGTTGAATTTTTTTTAATCAACAATACATAAAACATTATTTTGTAACCTCAAAGTAGAAGATTTGGTACTGATGATGCTTGTCGAAATGTTCAGCAGGTCAAGTGCTATTAATAGATGTCCATAACTTAGTATCGAAGAAACTTAAAATTGGAGAAAACATTACACCTTTGAAAAAAAGTTGAATTTTTTTTATCAACAATACATAAAACATTATTTTGTAACCTCAAAGTAGAAGATTTGGTACTGATGATGCATGTCGAAATGTTCAGCAGGTCAAGAGCTATTTATAAATGTCCATAACTTTATATTCAAGCCACTTAAAATTAGAGAAAACATTACACATTTGAAATAAAGTTGAATTTTTTTTATCAACAATACATAAAACATTATTTTGTAACCTCAAAGTAGAAGATTTGGTACTGATGATGCATGTCGAAATGTTCAGCAGGTCAAATTCTAATTAAAGATGTCCATAACTTAGTATCCAAGAAATTTAAAATTGGAGAAAACATTACACCTTTGAAAAAAAGTTGAATTTTTTTTTATCAACAATACATAAAACATTATTTTGTAACCTCAAAGTAGAAGATTTGGTACTGATGACGCATGTCGAAATGTTCAGCAAGTCAAGAGCTATTGATAAATGTCTACAACTTGGTATGCAAGCCACTTAAAATTGGAGAAAACATTACACCTTTGAAAAAAAGTTGAATTTTTTTTATCAACAATACATAAAACATTATTTTGTAACCTCAAAGTAGAAGATTTGGTACTGAGGATGCATGTCGAAATGTTCAAAAAGTCAAATGCTAATTATAGATGTCCATAACTTAGTATCCAAGAAACTTAAAATTGGAGAAAACATTACACCTTTGAAAAAAAGTAGAATTTTTTTTTTATCAACTATACATAAAACATTATTTTGTAACCTCAAAGTAGAATATTTGAAACTAATGATGCATGTCAAAATCTTTAGCAGGTCAAGAGCTGTTGATAAATTTACACAACTTGTTATTCAAGCCACATAAAATTGGAGAAAACATTACACCTTTGAAAAAAAGTTGAATTTTTTTTATCAACAATACATAAAACATTATTTTGTAACCTCAAAGTAGAAGATTTGGTACTGATTATGCATGTCGAAATGTTCAGCAGGTCAAATATTAATTAAAGATGTCCATAACTTAGTATCCAAGAAACTTAAAATTGGAGAAAACATTACACCTTTGAAAAAAAGTTGAATTTTTTTTATCAACAATACATAAAACATTATTTTGTAACCTCAAAGTAGAAGATTTGGTACTGAGGATGCATGTCGAAATGTTCAAAAAGTCAAATGCTAATTATAGATGTCCATAACTTAGTATCCAAGAAACTTAAAATTGGAGAAAACATTACACCTTTGAAAAAAAGTAGAATTTTTTTTTTATCAACTATACATAAAACATTATTTTGTAACCTCAAAGTAGAATATTTGAAACTAATGATGCATGTCGAAATCTTCAGTAGGTCAAGAGCTGTTGATAAATTTACACAACTTGTTATTCAAGCCACTTAAAATTGGAGAAAACATTACACCTTTGAAAAAAAGTAGAATTTTTTTTTATCAACAATACATAAAACATTATTTTGTAACCTCAAAGTAGAAGATTTGGTACTGATGATGCATGTCGAAATGTTCAGCAGGTCAAGAGCTATTTATAAATGTCCATAACTTTATATCCAAGCCACTTAAAATTGGAGAAAACATTACACCTTTAAAAAAAAGTTGATTTTTTTTTTATCAACAATACATAAAACATTATTTTGTAACCTCAAAGTAGAAGATTTGGTACTGATGATGCATGTCGAAATGTTCAACAGGTCAAGTGCTATTGAAAGATGTCCATAACTTGGTATCCAAGCCACTTAAAATTAAAGAAAACATTACACCTTTGAAAAAAAGTAGAATTTTTTTTTATCAACAATACATAAAACATTATTTTGTAACCTCAAAGTAGAAGATTTGGTACTGATGATGCATGTCGAAATGTTCAGCAGGTCAAGAGCTATTTATAAATGTCCATAACTTTATATCCAAGCCACTTAAAATTGGAGAAAACGTTACACCTTTAAAAAAAAGTTGATTTTTTTTTTATCAACAATACATAAAACATTATTTTGTAACCTCAAAGTAGAAGACTTGGTACTGATGATGATTGTCGAAATGTTCAGCAGGTCAAGTGCTATTAATAGATGTCCATAACTTAGTATCGAAGAAACTTAAAATTGGAGAAAACATTACACCTTTGAAAAAAAGTTGAATTTTTTTTATCAACAATACATAAAACATTATTTTGTAACCTCAAAGTAGAAGATTTGGTACTGATGATGCATGTCGAAATGTTCAACAGGTCAAGAGCTATTTACAAATGTCCATAACTTTATATCCAGGCCCTTTAAAATTGGAGAAAACATTACACCTTTAAAAAAAAGTTGAATTTTTTTTTTATCAACAATACATAAAACATTATTTTGTAACCTCAAAGTAGAAGATTTGGAACTAATGATGCATGTCAAAATCTTTAGCAGGTCAAGAGCTGTTGATAAATTTACACAACTTGTTATTCAAGCCACTTAAAATTGGAGAAAACATTACACCTTTGAAAAAAAGTTGAATTTTTTTTATCAACAATACATAAAACATTATTTTGTAACCTCAAAGTAGAAGATTTGGTACTGATTATGCATGTCGAAATGTTCAGCAGGTCAAATATTAATTAAAGATGTCCATAACTTAGTATCCAAGAAACTTAAAATTGGAGAAAACATTACACCTTTGAAAAAAAGTTGAATTTTTTTTATCAACAATACATAAAACATTATTTTGTAACCTCAAAGTAGAAGATTTGGTACTGAGGATGCATGTCGAAATGTTCAAAAAGTCAAATGCTAATTATAGATGTCCATAACTTAGTATCCAAGAAACTTAAAATTGGAGAAAACATTACACCTTTGAAAAAAAGTAGAATTTTTTTTTTATCAACTATACATAAAACATTATTTTGTAACCTCAAAGTAGAATATTTGAAACTAATGATGCATGTCGAAATCTTCAGTAGGTCAAGAGCTGTTGATAAATTTACACAACTTGTTATTCAAGCCACTTAAAATTGGAGAAAACATTACACCTTTGAAAAAAAGTAGAATTTTTTTTTATCAACAATACATAAAACATTATTTTGTAACCTCAAAGTAGAAGATTTGGTACTGATGATGCATGTCGAAATGTTCAGCAGGTCAAGAGCTATTTATAAATGTCCATAACTTTATATCCAAGCCACTTAAAATTGGAGAAAACATTACACCTTTAAAAAAAAGTTGATTTTTTTTTTATCAACAATACATAAAACATTATTTTGTAACCTCAAAGTAGAAGATTTGGTACTGATGATGCATGTCGAAATGTTCAACAGGTCAAGTGCTATTGAAAGATGTCCATAACTTGGTATCCAAGCCACTTAAAATTAAAGAAAACATTACACCTTTGAAAAAAAGTAGAATTTTTTTTTATCAACAATACATAAAACATTATTTTGTAACCTCAAAGTAGAAGATTTGGTACTGATGATGCATGTCGAAATGTTCAGCAGGTCAAGAGCTATTTATAAATGTCCATAACTTTATATCCAAGCCACTTAAAATTGGAGAAAACGTTACACCTTTAAAAAAAAGTTGATTTTTTTTTTATCAACAATACATAAAACATTATTTTGTAACCTCAAAGTAGAAGACTTGGTACTGATGATGATTGTCGAAATGTTCAGCAGGTCAAGTGCTATTAATAGATGTCCATAACTTAGTATCGAAGAAACTTAAAATTGGAGAAAACATTACACCTTTGAAAAAAAGTTGAATTTTTTTTATCAACAATACATAAAACATTATTTTGTAACCTCAAAGTAGAAGATTTGGTACTGATGATGCATGTCGAAATGTTCAACAGGTCAAGAGCTATTTACAAATGTCCATAACTTTATATCCAGGCCCTTTAAAATTGGAGAAAACATTACACCTTTAAAAAAAAGTTGAATTTTTTTTTTATCAACAATACATAAAACATTATTTTGTAACCTCAAAGTAGAAGATTTGGAACTAATGATGCATGTCAAAATCTTTAGCAGGTCAAGAGCTGTTGATAAATTTACACAACTTGTTATTCAAGCCACTTAAAATTGGAGAAAACATTACACCTTTGAAAAAAAGTTGAATTTTTTTTATCAACAATACATAAAACATTATTTTGTAACCTCAAAGTAGAAGATTTGGTACTGATTATGCATGTCGAAATGTTCAGCAGGTCAAATACTAATTAAAGATGTCCATAACTTAGTATCCAAGAAACTTAAAATTGGAGAAAACATTACACCTTTGAAAAAAAGTTGAATTTTTTTTTATCAACAATACATAAAACATTATTTTGTAATCTCAAAGTAGAAGATTTGGAACTAATGATGCATGTCGAAATCTTCAGCAGGTCAAGAGCTGTTGATAAATTTACACAACTTGTTATTCAAGGCACTTAAAATTGGAGAAAACATTACACCTTTGAAAAAAAGTTGAATTTTTTTTATCAACAATACATAAAACATTATTTTGTAACCTCAAAGTAGAAGATTTGGTACTAATGATGCATGTCGAAATGTTCAACAGGTCAAGTGCTATTGAAAGATGTCCATAACTTGGTATCCAAGCCACTTAAAATTGGAGACGAAAGGTTTAAAGCACTGGAACTATCTCAAAAATGTCTCAATGAAAATAATGTTCTTTGGTTGAGCTTTACTGATCCAAAGGAAATTGATGAACTCAGGGTTAAAACTAAAAATGAACTGATTCGAGAGACCAAAAAAATCTTCTCCAGGATGGATATAAGATTAAATAATGTGAATAGAGCGATTATTGATGTTTACACCAAAAAAATTGCTATTAGGACCAGTAATGGTTACGATAATGAACTAATTATGGGAATTAAATTTTTGAATTCTGGTGTCGTTCGGGATTTAAAGTATTTGGCTATAAGCTATACCAAAAAGCAATTTGAATCAAAAAATTACGACGCTATTCGCTACATTATAAGAGACAACTGGAGTTCTGATATTTGGAAATTGCTTCGTGTCTGCTACGATTTAAGATGTTTTAAGCTTATAGATAAAGCTCATGTGAGTGATGCTGGAATTATGGTTTTTTTATATCAACCCTGAAAACCCTTCTGAGAACGCCACTGTAAAGGAATTGCGGAAAACTTTGATTCGCACTGAATCAGATTTGGATCAGCTAAGATCCCGTGTAAATGACGTTGGTCTGGAAATGTCCACTTTTCAACTCTATAACAGTGATTACTTCAAATTAAATGCCGATGGACGAAATAAGTATAAGCAAAATTTTATTAAAGACTCAGTTGGAGAAGGAGTATCTGAAGAAGCCAATGAAAATAATGTCAATGGTGAATCAAGTAATTCCAATTGACAATCATGCTCGTCTATTCACTCATCATCTCACGTCAAACAAAATATTGAAAATGTTATGAACCGCTATCTACAAAATTCATTCTTCTCAAAAATGCATAATGAATCATCGAAAATTAACTTGAACTTTAATAATATTTGTAAGTCAATATCAAAGTGCTTTAACGAAAATCCTTTAAATAAACCGCTTTTTAATATTCTTTCGTGGAACATACATTGTCTTACGCAAAAGAAACTGAACGCGATAAAACAATATTTGGATGAATGGACGAGATCCTCAATTTTACAAAAATCCAATGACAATTTGAACCCCGATGTAAAACATCAATTTAATTCTAATGGAATTAAGCGTAATTATTGTATAGATGCAATTGCCCTCACAGAAACATGGCTAAGAGATGACAGTAAATTCAACACATTCACTATCAAAAACTACAATAAATTCTACATTAACAGAAGTACTGGCACAAAAGGAGGTGGTATAATATTATTTGTGCATAAAAGTCATCATGTCATTCTCGTCGATTCTAATATTAATGACGATATTGAATTTCTGCTAATTAAAATTCTGTTGAATGATGAAGAATGGCATATTCTCACAGTATATAAACCCAATGGGTCACTCAGTTCATTCCTTAAACAGCTCGACGATATTATTTTACATATCAATACAGATAAGCTAATTATATCAGGTGATATGAATATTAATTTACTGGATACTAATGATACGTCCACGAAAGAATATTTAGATGTCATCGCTTCTTTAAATCTATCAGTCATGAATTCAGCAATTACAAGGCACAATTATTTCTCTCCAGTAGCTGGATCATTAATTGATCACTTTATTGCTAGTAAAATCCTAAATAACTATGTTGTTTTGACGTCCAATAAAATCCAACTAATGTTTGATCATAACTTCCTGCTGTTAATAGTGCAAACTGAACGAGTAGAACCTAAAAGAACGAGAATATTTAAAAGATTGACTGACTCAAAAGCGGCTATATCAAATCTGAACGATCACTTATCTGAAATTGTCATTAATTCTTGCAGTGACGCAGTCGAATATAATTTTGATATCATCCACATGCTAATAATCAAGTCCATCAACGAAAACACAAAAATTCTTCCTGTTAAATTGCCGTCTCATATCAAAACAGTTCCTGACTGGATGGATGAACACTATATGGAGATGCTCCGGACACTGCATAATCTAGAAGAGAAAATTGATGAAAGAAAAATTAATGGAAGACCGTTTACTCAACTGAGACTAAAATATGATGACCTAAATGTGATTAGAGAAAATTATGGCAACATTAGATCAAAAATTTACTATAAAAAATTAATGATAACCAATCTTCATCAAGCATGGACAGTCATTAATGGTATTCTCGGAAGAGGTGGCAAGGAAAAAATCACGATACTAAAAAGCACTAATGATGAATTGATTACTGATCATAAAGGAATTGCAGATGCCTTTCAAAATAAATTTCTCTCTATTGTTGGTGAACAGCCGTCTAATATCTCAAACCATAAATATTTAGGAACTCTGATTGAAAACACGTTCTGTCTTGACGTAATCACGCCAATCACAATTTTTACCATAATTGGTTCACTCGATAATAAGAAAGCTGTTGGATATGATAATATAAAGGCAGGAATACTAAAAGGATGCAATCAAATGCTTTGTGTTCATCTTGCTAACTGTTTTAATCAAATGATTAGATCTGGAATATATCCAGAAAGTCTTAAGCACTCTGTAGTTACGCCAATTTTCAAAAAAGGAGATCCAACTTGCGTTGATAATTACAGACCAATCAGTGTGTTATCCCAAATTGACAAAATATTTGAGATTATCATCTGCAGTCAAATGACCCTCTTTCTGGAGTCTAATAAGGTTCTTGATCCTTTACAATATGGGTTTACTAACAAAAAAGGCTGTCAAGACATCATTTGCATGACTTTAAATCACGTTTCCAAATTTCTCGATAAAGAAATTAGTGTGATATTAATCTCACTTGACATCAATAAGGCATTTGATTCTGTCAATCATCAAATTTTACTTCGCAAACTTAATTTTATGGGATTTAGAGGCACAGCATTAAAACTAATTGAAAGTTTTCTATCTAATAGAACACAAGTTGTGAAAATTGGTGATGTTTTAAGCTTTATTGGTCTTGTCCTTAAAGGAGTCCCTCAGGGATCCAATAAGGGACCATTATTGTTCAACTTATTAATTAATGACTTATCATCAGTTTCTACACATTCTACATTATACAAATATGCAGACGACTTACTTTTGGTCTTTCCATTGAACAATAAAGACCAAAATGAGAACTTTCTAAAATTAAATAATGACTTAAAAGCAATCACTGATTATTATCAACAAAATGCACTCAGTGTCAATATCGGCAAATCACAATACATGACACTCGGAAAAGTAAATGATGGTATTAAGGAATTTCTAAATAATCAAAGCTTAATTGAAACCAGCGAAATGAAGTATCTCGGATTTATCATTGATGAAGAGCTTAAAATGTCTGGACAAGTCGATAAAATTTGCAAATCAATTACGTCTGGAATTGGTGCTCTATATCAGCTTAGAAATCATATTTCTGCCCAGTCTATGATAACATTCTTTCATTCTCACATACAGTCGCACATAAATTACTGTAGTTTTGCATTACTTCGTCTTAGATCGATAGACATAGACAGAATCCAAAGACTTCAATCCAGATCACTCAGAATCATTTACAACTTACCATATTTATATCCATCACATGACCTATTCACTAAAGAAGCCAAACACATCCTTCCTGTGGCCGGCTTGATTTATTATACAGCTTTGTGTATGGTAAAAAAAAGTTTCAACTGTAAAGACGGCTCACTTCCGAAAGTTGAAAAGCTTAAAAGCAACCGAAGTAATGATTTGATGATAAAGGGAGCTAAAAAGAAAGTAATGATTGACGATATCACTCATACTGGATGTAAATTGTTTAATCAATTACCTGCAAGCATAAAATCCGAAAGGAATTTTTATGCATTTAAAAGTCAAGTGAAGAAGTTTTTACTTGAATGTAACTCATCTCTGTATATGGAGTATATGGAATCTAAAGGGTTTCAAATATATGTTTCTTTTTTCTCGAGTACAAATTTTCATCACACGAACAACTGCATACTTGCTTAATATTCTCAAATTCTAGTTAATTATAACGCGTTTGTGTCTTTTTTTCCATTGCTTGGTGATTAATTGTTGACATTTGACTAATGGAGGACATTTCTGGTGAAGACATACTGCAGATTTTTGCGACTGAGCAGGATTTATCATTCTCAGACAATTCTAAGGCTAGAACGGATTCATCTGATAATGTTTTGCTGAAAATTTTTACAAAAGGATCAATGACATCGCTTAATGCTGAAGACATTGCGGAATTTCTGATCCACCAACAAAAGTTGAATATTTGTGGACTGAGTTTCAAATCCAACTCCGTTCTGTTCGAAATTTCACACTCTAGCCAATTAAATGATTGGATAGTGAAATTGTTTGAAGAACGTCACTCAAATATGAAACTCACTGCTGAACGTCGATCAAACATACTGAAAGTCGCCAAGGGTAAATTTAACTTGGTAATTAACAACAATTTAATATTTTTAGTCATTATTCCTGGCACTCTCGGCTATTATGTTTCCGTGTCTAAAAAATTCTCAGCCCTATGGATTGTGCAATGAGACAACTGTTAATGTCGTCTCAGGTTCTTTACCAGATGAACCATCTCAGATAATCCTGAAGTTTTTAAATGCCAGAAATACAACCAATCATGCATCAATTAAACCAATCTACGGCATTCGACTAGAATGGAATGATGAAAAGGATTCACATATCTTACGTTTTCTAATTGATCAGTCTAATCTTTCTGACAGTTCTCTTAACGCACTAAAAAATCTTTATGGGTCTTTATCATTCTCTTCAGACACTCTTCATATTATACCGACCCTGCTTAAAACAGGTATTGATAAGAAACTAGCTTCTGGTCTAGATTACTCTGATGTCTGGAAATTTATTATGAAAAACGACTTATTACTATCTGAAGTAAACGAAATGCCAGTTGTGGCTAAGATTCCAACAATAAATAGCCATACAAGGAATAGTCTTTCTCGACCCAGCTCATCAACCATAAGAAACACTACAAGTCTCGCTGCTGCCAACTCATCTCGTTCGATCTTTGACCGCCTTATGCCAAGAGACTTATCTCTAGGGTGACCATCTAATTTTTATAAAAATACAGGACATTTGATAAATTTCCTAAAAAATACAGAACACAAAGGAAAATTTGAAAATAAACGGAAATTTTCGTGAAAAAAATACAGGACCTGGAACAAAATTTTCAAATTTATACAGGACAGGGTTTTGAAATACAGGACTGTCCGTTGTAAAACTACGCAGATGGTCACCCTACTTATCTCTTAGTACAACTGAAGAACTAAATCTCTCGATGGGTTTTCGTCGTGCTCGGAATGTCACAACAAATGGTTTAAAAAAACCAAAAGTGAAAAGTGTTGTTACTAAAATTTATAACAAATAAGTATCCTACTCTTTTTTTCTTTTACTTGCTTTTCTCATAATTATTTTATCAACGAACTGATCTTTTATCTCTTTTTTTTCCCTCAAATTTGGCATATTCTTCAGGGTTTTTTTTTGTCGTGAATTTAATGCACTAAGTCATTTGAATTTTTTTTTGGTCAAATATTGTTACTTGAATTATTTATTGTAACTGAATGTATTTTTTTTTTCTTATATACTACCGATAGGTATAATAAAAATTAATTTGAATTTGAATTTGAATCCAAGAAACTTAAAATTGGAGAAAACATTACACCTTTGAAAAAAAGTTGAATTTTTTTTTATCAACAATACATAAAACATTATTTTGTAACCTCAAAGAAGAAAATTTGGTACTGATGATGCATGTCAAAATGTTTAGCAGGTCAAGAGCTATTGATAAA